GGNCAGGATCACGGGTGAAGTGAAAAGGAGGGATATCAATTGTTGCTGGTGCTTTAGATGAAAAGACAATGTGTGTGATGGACAAGAACACGAGGAGGAGAGAGGCATGCCCAAGAGCCTGCACGATCAACCCCTTTCGACATCAACACCGAGCCAAAAGGACCTGCCAGATGACTAAGTGAGGTTTTTGGCATTGAGAAGACAGATGCACGCGCGATCCGCGTGCGCAGGGGCAACTACAAAGATAAGAGATAAAAGGCCCAAGAAAGAGAGAGGCAGCGATATATGATGAAACACAACAAACACAGAGAAACAATCGGTGTAGAATGACACTCGTTTAAATATTATTCATCAGGTATCCCTGGTACACAATGGAGCAGCCGGCGCGTTCGCAAAACTGGGTACAGTGCTTGGACACAAGCAAGAAAAGGATACAAGGTTGGACATGGACCAGATAAAAATACAGAGGTGTAAGGCCTCGCTCGGCCTCGGTCAAGTCACGGTTAGATGGTGTGCGTACCACCTTACATGTCTGCAATCACAAAGGCACGGCGCGGAGGGTGCTCCATGGGTTCAAGCATAACCATGAAGGCAGCTCGTGTGGAGGGATGCCAGGTCGGCTCATCCTGCAGGTTGCGCTTGATGGCTCGGGCCACTCGGGTTACGGTGATGCGACACCACACCTTTGTTCCGACGTACGTTTGAATGCGCTTGGCAAGGACAATGACTTCGCCGTGTCCATGCGCGAAGGAAACAATGCGATGGCCACAGGCTGTGCTGTCTTCAGGCACATTTGTCTCGACAATGTTGCGGCCAAGAAGCCCTTCCTTTGAGCGTCCCACCAGACGTTGAAACGCGGTATTGGCGTCAAGGATATGACACGTTCGTGAGAGTACGACGTAGGCGGTTGAAGCGGGCAACATTGGGCTGTCAAGACTTGAGGGACTGGTGCCCACACGGGCCACCAAAGCCTCGGGTTGTATGGGCCGCTCGCAGTAGCGATAGATTTCTTCGAGAAAGTTTGAAAGATGGCCTGCCATGGGGAAGAGACGAGCCTCCCGAAGGCTGTTGGCCAAAAAGCTCTCGTGGTTACCACTCAGACGAGCATGCAAGGACTCGATCAAGTCCACCGTTGCCTCCAAAACGCGGGCTTTTTCTTCCTTGTCCTCAAGGCCAGTCAGGGCGCGAAGTGTGCACACGGCTTCATTGATGCGTACTCGGCGGCGTGCCTCAGTCTCCTGGTGGCGCTTGCGCCGCTTGGCACTGGGTGGCCCGCGAATGCGCCGTGGTCGAACGACGCCGCTGCCCGCTCGCTCCAGAGCTTTGTTGGGTCGGCCAGCTGTGCTGCTGCTGGCCATCGTTGTCGCTGTGTCTGATAACTGATCAAAAGACGTGTCTTCCTGCTTGGGCCCGCCAAAGGCATCTGACAGCATCGAAGTGGCAATCTGGGTCGAACCGAGGCTGAGGGAGGTAGCCGCATTGGCAAATGTCGCGGGTGTGTTGGCGTGATTGGCCGTCGAATCGAAGAACAGGGCCTCATCGAGGGCAAAGGGTTCCCCAGGCGCGACCAGACTACCCGAGGAGCGGTTGGTGTTGGCAGCACGACTCACGTGGTCGAGGGCAAAAGTGCCATCGCCGAGCTGTTGCAGGTTATCGTGGTCCACCATCATGCCCTCATGTGCCATCGAGAGGGCCTGTTGGTACGGGTGATGTTGAGCCAAGTGCATGCCATTAGAAGGCGGAGCATGGATGCCCAAGTTGCCATCGTTGAACATGGATAGGCTGGCCGCACTGCTGTTGGCGGTGGTCGAGGCGGGGGATGCCATGCGCTCGGTGGTGTCTGAAGCAGCAGAGTCGGTAACGCTGGTGCACCGCGTCGTATTCGGGCCTTGAGGCACGGCATGTGGCCAGCTGGCGTGACTGGGTAGCATTCCAGTCATGAGGGCATGGTGGGATTGAAACTCAGTTGTGGGTGTTGTTTGCTGCGGATGTTGGTGATGGCGCTTCTGGTGTTGCGGTTGCTGCTGTTGATGGTGGTGGAGTTGCAGCAGAAGTTGCTGTTGCGTCTGCTGAGGGAGGTTGGTCCAGGGTAAATCAGAAGAAGCAGACGTGCCAAAAGTGGCTGCTACCGAAGCGGCAGCGGTAACCGAGGTCGAGGTCAGGGCGTTGGGGTCTGAGGCTCCGGCGAAGGCCTGGTTGAAGTGAGCCCGATTGGCGGCACTGAGCATGTTGAAGTTGAGACCACCAAAGGCTGCTGACCGGGAATGGTCGGATTGGTTGCCGTCGCTGTTGCCGGCAGCGGCGAGCTGAAGGCGGATCCATTGCTCCAAGGTGGCGGGATCGATGGGCATGCCGGATGGCAGAGATGCAGAAGGGTGGCTCATCGGCGAGGTGAGAAGAGCCGATGGTCGGGTGAGGCGAACTTCACAAGACGTGTTCATTGCATTCAAGGGGGCACTCTAGGGCCCACGAAGCAAGCCACAGCAGCTGTCCGGTGTCGACCAAAGCGCAATTGCGGTTCTGTGTCTGTCAATGTGGACGGACTTGGAATGGGACGTCAAGTCGTGTCAGAGGCGCGTACAGAAAAACGAGAGGAATCAGCGCAGGAAAGCCCGGGTGGTTCTTTGAGTTGATGGACTGCGGCGCTGCTACCCAGCGTAGGGTTTTGACTGGGCGACGAGTGGCTGTCTCACAAAATGGACACGACCTTGAGAAGAGAAGAACAAGAAGAACATGAAAAAGTAGCAAGCAAGCATGGGTTGGGGCACGTGAGTCAGTTGGCTACAAACGAAGGGGAAGCAAAGGCGGGCTGCAAGCCGGCTTGGCTCAAAGCCACTCAAGGGCGGCACGTGGGGAAGTACTCGACAAGCCGGAACGCACCGTTATCGACAAAAGGCAGAAACCCAAAAACTTGAGATCCTGGGATGGATGGTTTTAAGTTGAGAATGGGCATGGGCAACAGCGACCGAGGTCGGTCGCTAGATGGAGAGGCAACGAGGTCTCTGGCTGCGCACACGCTCGCACATGCAGCCCTCAGGCGTTGTCGACACTGATGATGCTCTGCTGATGATGCAATGGAATCATGTCATGAACGAGCTGGTGTGACGCGTGACGGCGATGGAGGCGACAAGAAAAATGCTGGCCTGGGGTCCGTTGTGACCAGAGACATCGGGATCCAGGGGTGGAGACGAGGGTTTTCATGGGTAGTAGAGAACCAGCTGCTGGCACATCGCATCACAGCGATCCGCCCCTGATCTCCCTCTCTCAGAGAGAGAGAGGGAGCAGGAAGAAAACGCACCTACTCTCCACTAATTCAATGTCATGGCCGTGTGTGAAGTTGGGGGTGGGGTGTGGGTGGGGGTGATGGGGGGGGTATCGAACGA